TCAGAAAGTGGTACTACCAAACCTCCCAGGGCTTTAAAAATGTGAAGTGATGCACTACTGTGCAATGAAATCTTAAAACTGCCAATCCACTTGAATGAAATTTTTAAAGTATATATACATATGTAAAAAAGAGGGAAATTTTATATAATTAAAATAAACAAGTGATCTATGGAATACAGGAAGAACCTACAGTTGTGAGAACGCATGCTTAGATTTAACTGTTGATTATTGACAATGTGAAATGTCTTCTTGGAACCACATCTGGTTAAAAGTGCCTCGTCAGACCAGACTTCACAAGACCTTAGGAATACTTGAATTCCCTCCTGTTACATTCATATTATGCTCTGCCCAGTGAAAAGAGCTATTATGTACTGAGGCACTCTTATTTCAAACAGTTGCATCTTGTTTACCTAAAAGCTCCTTCTGATAAAAATAAAGGCTGAAATCCTTGCATAGAGCAAAATATTTCCAAAGAAGCTAGTGTATTGTGTTCTGACATTCCGAAGCCTATTCTTAGAAAACCTTGCTGTAGAATACTAATGCCTTCACCACTTTTTTTTTTTTTTTTTTTTTTTAAAGGAGCAACAAATTATCTGTAACCTAAGATAAAAGTCAGGCACCAAATGCATGCTTCTAAAATTAAACAAACTGTCATCACAAGAACATACACAACACAAAAGCCGTTGTTTCACAACAACATATTTCAATGCATCTCTTACGTGTTTTATGGACCATGCCTAGCACCTTAAAGGGTAACAGTAAGCATCATTACCTATTTCACAAAAAACAATCAAAATGCAGCAAGGTCAATTTGATATCAATATAGTATTATTAGTATAAGCTTCTTCCCTTGTTGAAAGCCAGACTCTACCACTCCTACAGATATAGACCATAAGAGTGCGCAGAAAGCAAATGCCTGTTTCAACCAACGGTGCTGCTTATGAGGTAAGATACCGCTAAGCACAAGCAAGGGTAACAAAACAGGCCGCTTTGTGATCCAACTGTGCAACATCAGCTCCACCTGAAAAAATTATAGCTGATTAATTTCTTTTCTAAAAAAAGAAAAGCAGAATACTGCTGCCTATAGTGACAAGTCCACTTTGAGATCAATGGTAGGAGAAGTAGGTAACTTCCCATCTTTGTACTCTCATCTTCTGTCTGGAGACAGCTTGACTTGGATTCATATGGCAGCAGCATACATCTGTCTATCTTGACTGCAAAAAAAGGGTGGGGGGCTGCACTTTTCAGAAGCACCCAGGAACAATGCAAGTCCAATTAACAGGAGATGTAGGGCCAAATTTTCAGTGCTGTAGAGGTGTCCAAAAGACATGCACAGAAATCACTTCAGCGAGATTTTTCAAAAGCAACAGCATAAAACAGAAGATACAGTTTAGAAATCAGTTAGAGTTAGGTGTTCTAGGTATTGGCTGGTAGTCAACTGCAGCTACTATGCTCAGAGATTATAGTCATAAACTACTAATTGTGCCAATAGATTCATTACCAAACTATGTCAGATATCTATTTTGTGGTTTATTGCCCAATAACCCACTACAATCCTAGTCCAAATACCTGAACCAACCCTGCAAACTCAGTTCTCCTTAGCTTCATGCATTACGCAGAGGCAAAGTATTGTTGAAGTTTCTGCACAAGAGAGCTCAGAATGGGTAATTTTGCTTTTTTGTACAACTGGATCACTGAACTGGGCAAAGGCTCCAACACCACAGTCCTTCGCGCACTTCACTGAGCAATGGCTGCAGTGTCATGCAGAACTGCAATGTACGCTGACATTTGGAAGCAGAACCCTCTAGCCATCTTCACAGGCTAAAAGACTGGACAGCAGTGGCATACTGAAAAAAGTCTGGGTTTCTTAAGGGTACATTCTGTACTAAAAATCTCACCTGCTCAAATAAGTTTTATACATATATATTTTTGCATTACTCACTTTCACAACAATAATTGAGACAAAATCATTCTGTTTTATTAGAGTGGAAAAAGCATTATCTTCCAAACTTTCATATCAGAAAAAGTCTGAAAAGTTTGTTCTTGATGGGCAACAAGTTGAGCATGAGCCAGCAACGTGCACGTGCGGCCAAGAAGGCCAATGGGATCCCGGGCTGCATTAGGAAGAACACTGCCAGCAGGTGGAGGGAGGTGATCCTGCCCCTCTCCTCAGCTCTGGTGAGGCCACCCCTGGAGTGCTGTGTCCAGTTCTGGTCTCCCCAATACAAAAGAGATTTGGAGCTCCTGGAGCGAGTCCACCCAAAGAACTGCTAAGATGATGAAGGCAGTGGAGCATCTGTCATATGACGAAAGGATGAGGGAGCTGGGAGTGCTCAGTCTGGAGGAGAGAAGACTGACGGGACGGGGGATCTTATCAATGACTATAAGTATCTGAAGGGAAAGTGTAAAGAGGATGGGGCCAAACTCTTTTCAGTGGTGCCCGGTGATAGGATGACAGGCAATGGGCACAAACTGAAACACAGGAAGTTCTGTCTGAATCTGAGGAAAAATTTCTTTGCTGTGAAGGTGACTGAGCACTCGAACAGACTGCCCAGAGAGGTTGTGGAGTCTCCATCCTTGGAGATATTCAAAACCTGTCTGGACACAATCCTGGGCAACATGCTCTGTGTGACCCTGCTTGATCAGGGAGGTCACATAGATGGGGATGATCTCCAGAGGTCACCTCCAACTTCAACCGTTCTGTGATTCTGTGAAAGGATGTTAGTTACCTTGCACTTGTCTAGACAATTTTTGTTCAATCACATGTTAGAGTCTTTATAAAAAAAGGATGTTGCTTCTTATGGAGTCATGCTGCAACAACCCATAAAGTGGCTACAGACTGAAAATGTTTTCAGAAGACATCCTCTTCCAGACTCGAGATGGAATGACCTAACCTGCTTTCACTGTCCGTTACTGCCCTTATGTCAGCAATAAAAATGAGCTAGAGTTTGTGCAAGACCTCCGCAATCCAATTAAAAATGAGCTAGTTGAAAACAGATTACGGCTAAATGTCCTTTACCAACTGCCATTGGAAGAATACAACAGTAACATCTTAGACCATCACAGCAATTTTAAAACTCAATTTGTCCACACCTCTGCTTTAGTATAGATGCGCATCATGCTGCCAAAGCACGTTCAACAGAAAAGGCACGTAAGCCATTCTGTTACAAGTGAACCACTTCAACAGCATCGGTGCAGCTCATGGAATACAAACCAGCAGAGAGAAAAATAAGAAAATACTTCAAAAGTCAGTACCAAGCACACAGGGAGAACGTGTGAAAAACAGAAGTGGATCTGAAACTATCTGTGGCTGCTTTTGGTATTAGATAGATACTTAAGAACATGATGAAACATTTCTTTCAAGGAAGGAAACAACACTCTGACCTGTCTGTTCAAGTTCTCTTTTGGTATCTAGTGTTTCAAGACAAAATTCCTGTTCCACTATTATCTTCTCATAGTCTTCAAAAGAATCAGCATTTTATCCCCCAGTATCAAAATTCTTTAATTCAGGAGTAATAGCAGTACAAAATGTGTTTCTCTATCTTGCTTTTGTTATTAATTAGGTCCCATTTGGTGTTCCTGAATTGCTATTACTAAGTTGCACTGGATGAGCGTGTTAGAAAGCAATGGAGGATGGATCAACAGCTGTAGTTATTATGAAAATTATGGCAGCACATCAGAGGAATTGCAGCTGCTCGCTTCATGCAAATAAGAGCTACTTGACAATGATTATAATTATACAGTACGTCAAACAGCATAGCTGGAGTAAGAGTAGGGAGTACATGTTTTAAAGACTGAAAAGATTCTCATTACATTACGTTCACGCTCCCTGAACTCCTACCTAAGGATAACAAGAACCAGTTTCTGTCAGTTGACCCTGTACAGATACAGGAAGACCTACTAGGTCACCCAGATATACTCCTGTTAATACTTCAGCTGTTAAATGTGACACTTCTTTGTAAGTTTACTAGCTATTTGTAATAACAGCAGTACTCAGAGACTATAGTCAGATCTGGGTTCCATTTAACTAAGTGTTATGTGTCCACAAAGAGACAGTCCAATCTAGTTTCCAGTGATTCAGACAATGTGGATAACATCTCTTCTATCCAAAGCCTGCTCGTGACACCTGAAACAACATTGTAATATTCTAGTTTACTTTGCTTAATATCACTTCTGAACGTAAATATTTTTGGCCTGGTCTAGGCAATTCCCTTCTCACTTCAGGCACTAAGGCCCTCTTAAGGATCACATTTCTTTCTCTTAGATAAAGACTCAGCTAAAAGCTCCACATTTTCAGTGAAGCTGAATGCATCGCTTATCCTGTTATATCCACAGGTTGTTTGCACATCAGAAACTGTTTAAATAGAGTGACATTTCATTGTTTTAATTTCTTCCTGTTCCTGCTCTGCATTCAGCCTTTCTAATTAAAGCCCTCTCTTTTTTGCTTGTTAGTTCATGCTGGCAAATCCCCGCACCGGCATGGAAAAAATTGACACAGATCCTCATTTGCTTTCTTCTGCCTCTCTCTTTGGAACTCTTGTGCCAAAAACTGTAGAGCATCCAGTCACAGGGTACAAATAATAACCCTTTAACTCTAAACCAAGACTAAGGGAGAGTTTAATTTAGTCATTTATGACTGCCACATAAAAGGACATACAGTGATACACGATTTTGCAGTCCTCCTACCTATATTTCAGTGGTGAGAAACCAGAACCACTTTTTCTATGACATAGAGGGTTGCTTAGGTTCATCACTGTTCTTGTTTTACACAATGGTCCAAACTGCAAACCTGACAGTTAATCTTTCCTCCGCACTATCAGAAAACCCAACCATTCTTCCTGTGAATTCTGCTTACAAAGCAAAGAGGCCCAATTCCAAATACTTTGGAAATCAGGGACATGTCTCCTAGTTGAAGTGATACCCTGAGCTTCCCCCATTTCATAGGTATTGTCATTAAATCACTGACTAAACATGAAAGCAATTAACATTTTTAATCTTACCTGAAATCGCATGCTGTGGTAAGTTCTGCTCCTCCTCCGAGAGCTTTCCCTTGGACTAGTGCAACACTGATCAACGGCAATCTACACAAGAGATCAAAATTCATGCTTTTAATCTTTTACAAACAACAAAAGGATTCAAGTATACCATCTCTATACTAAAAGCTCAGCATACAGAAAAACATCCTGTTTCAACTTATTCACACCGTTACATCTTTGCTGATAGGCAGCATAATGCCAACTCTACTTATGTGAAAATGACTCTTCCATAATTAATATGCAATCCCAACATGAAACAGCAAGAGAGAAAGATCTAATGGAATCACAGTAAAGCAGGTCACGTACTAGGTTATGAAAAGGAGAAGGAACGAGAGGACAGCAACAGAAAAAGAATCTGCACTTAGCCAGTACACTAAAGAAAGCAGATCAAGCTGTATAAGGGGACAATAAGAACTGCAGGCCTAGATTATCTAAAAGTGGGCTGATTCAGCGTGACATTTTGGACAGCTTCTACAAACAGCAGTTCTACCATCTCAGTGATCAACAAAATGTTTTTTGTGGGAGGACAAAACTGTTCTTTGAGGACAGCAACAAGCTGTTACCTTTGAAAGCATTAAATTTAATCATGCTCAAGGTAATCCACAGGCTATAAGGAAGACTGTATGCAGGGAGAACCGCTTGAGGTGATCAGGAGTAGTCAGCATGGATTCACAAAGGGGAAATCATGCTTAAACAACCTGATACTCTGTGATGGAATGACTGGCTGCACAGATGAGGAGAGAGCAGTGGATGTTGTCTTCCTTGGCTTCAGTAAGGCTTTTGACACTCTCTCCCATCACATCCTCATCAGCAAGTTCAGGAAATGCAGGCTAGATGAATGGAGGGTGAGGTGGATTGAGAACTAGCTGGATGGCCGAGCTCAGAGGGTTGTGATCAGCAGCACAGAGTCTAGTTGGAGGTTTGTAACTAGCAGCGTCCCCTGGGGCCAACACTGGGGCCAGCATTGTTTAATTAGTGACCTGGATAAAGGGACAGAGTGCACTCTCAGCAAGTTTGCTGATGATGCAAAGCTGGGAGGAGTGGCTGATGCACCAGAAGTCTGTGCTGCCATTCAGAGGGACCTGGACAGGCTGGAGAGATGAGCAGAGGGGAACCTCCTGAAGTTCAACAAAGGCAGGGTCCTGCACCTAGGGAGGAATAACCCCATGCAATAGTAAAGGCCGGGGGCTGACCTGCTAGAAAGCAGCTCTGCAAAGAAGGACCTGGGAGTCCTGGTGGACAAGTTGAGCATGAGCCAGCAACGTGCACGTGCGGCCAAGAAGGCCAATGGGATCCCGGGCTGCATTAGGAAGAACACTGCCAGCAGGTGGAGGGAGGTGATCCTGCCCCTCTCCTCAGCTCTGGTGAGGCCACCCCTGGAGTGCTGTGTCCAGTTCTGGTCTCCCCAATACAAAAGAGATTTGGAGCTCCTGGAGCGAGTCCACCCAAAGAACTGCTAAGATGATGAAGGCAGTGGAGCATCTGTCATATGACGAAAGGATGAGGGAGCTGGGAGTGTTCAGTCTGGAGGAGAGAAGACTGACGGGACGGGGGATCTTATCAATGACTATAAGTATCTGAAGGGAAAGTGTAAAGAGGATGGGGCCAAACTCTTTTCAGTGGTGCCCGGTGATAGGATGACAGGCAATGGGCACAAACTGAAACACAGGAAGTTCTGTCTGAATCTGAGGAAAAATTTCTTTGCTGTGAAGGTGACTGAGCACTCGAACAGACTGCCCAGAGAGGTTGTGGAGTCTCCATCCTTGGAGATATTCAAAACCTGTCTGGACACAATCCTGGGCAACATGCTCTGTGTGACCCTGCTGGACCCTTGTTGGACTCGATGATCTCCAGAGGTCACCTCCAACATCAACCATTCTGTGATTTTCTGATTCTCTACTGCCATTGTGAAATGAATAATAGTGAATAATGACTGACTTAGGATAAGCCAAGTTCCCTAAGAAATGAAGACAACCTGTCAGTCCCAGCTTGCATGTCAATACAGCTGTTTTATCCCTTATTACCAAGATGCATTTAATTCACTGGGTTGATGGCCAGTTTCAAAGCTAGATTCAAAAGCTGACTTCACAATCTATTTGTTTTTACTTCATCAGAAGCAGAAACAACTTCTTATGGCCCAAATCCACTTACCAGTTGGAGCACACTTCACAAAATACAGGGCACAAGGGCACTCACTGGAGAACAGTAAGCCTCGTCATTCCTGCAATCTATGGGGAATCAGAAGATGCGGGTCCAAGCCCCCTGTGTTAACACTCCCCACTGTTTCTCATCCACTTGAAGAATCTCTTCAGGATCACAGTTAACCTCAGCTCCTTCAGAGAACAATTCATCTATGATAGACCTCCCTAGAGAGCAATACAGTGCTCTCCCTTAATTATGACTGCAATATAGTGCTTATACACTCTCAGCCAAGACACTTCAAGTGAGGGCTTAGTTTTCACAGATCGTTTTCCTCTTTGCCTGCTTGTCAATTTTGATTATACAGAATCCAACTTACGCAAATGACTAATTCTGATCCTAAAGATTCCTTACAATACAATACTACTACTAAGTTTCCAATATCCTGGGTAGCTTTACAGAACAATGTTAACTCATAGCATTTTCTCATATACACGATTTGAAAATACAGAACATTTATCTTCAAAGAGCCCTAAGCAGACAAAAGACAGACCCTGCCACACGTGGATTTAACAGAAATGCAATTTCTTAAGGGAAGCTAAATCTAAGGGAGAAGAAAAAAATGATTTTGAGAAATACCAGATGGTAGAACTGAATACATTCCTCTTATGAAGTGGGAAGAATAAATAAATATATTAAATAAACGTTACCTGCGTGGGCTGCATAAGCTGGCCCTGCTTGTTTTTGAGAGCTACTGACTTCCACTGAGTTACAGAAGTCAGCTTTAGAACCTGTGAAGGCCTAGATTTCTTTAACTCTAGGTCTCTGCTGGCCCTCCACATATAAACCTATAGGCTTTTTTCCTGTTCAGATCTCTGGAAAGCCTAATAATTGTGAAATGTCAAAGCTTAATTTACATCCACAAATACCTACTTGATTAACACGTGCAAATACAAGGTCTGGTATTCAAACTTACAGACTTAAACTGTGTATTTAACATTTAAATATCTCCCTAAAGAGCTAGCCAAAACATATTCCAATCCTTATAATTATTTCATAAAGAAGGGGAAAGAAAAATATATTACCTCATAAGTCTGGTTAAGGTATTTTGCATAAACATGCACATATTCATCCCATCCTATAAAGGACAGAAAATCAAAAAATGTTACGTGATCCTAATGAGAAGCAATTAAACACACAGACAGAGCAGACAGGAATATTATATTTACTCTAGCAGTTTTTCTTCCCCTCTTTAGTTAGCCTTTCCTGAAGCCCAGCCCAACCACAGTACGCACTAACAGAAAATTAGTATAAGCTAGGTCAAAATCAGAACCCAAACCATATTTTAGATTCTCAGTTATAATTAAGCCACAATGAACATAATTCCCAAAGTACTAAAAATCCTTCAAAAAATACCAAATTTCTATGACATGAGATTGCACGTCCTTTCCTCTTAATTTCTTCTTCTCTCTCCTCCCACATAAACACCCATAAAGGTCAGTTTTAAACATCTGTATAAGACCATATTTTGCTGCATACTTTTTACTGCTCAAAATCCATAAAATATTAGAAAAGATAAAATTTACCAACTACATTTTTTTTAATTATTTTGGCCACAAGCATTTCAGCTAAAAAAAGATTCTTATTTCTCTGTTTTCGTTTGTATCAGCTTGCAATGTCCAGTTTGCAAACAATAGTGAATAGGGAACAGTTGTTTCCTTCTCTCCCAGTACAAGAATTATGGAGCTTCAAATAAAATCAGTAGCTGTTAGGTTCAAAAGCAAATATATTTCTTCCCACAGCATGTGGTTAAATTGTGGAACACTCTGCAGCACAGTACTGCAACCCCTAAAAGATTACATGGATTCAAGAACAATTAGATAAACTCATGACAGAAAAAATCTTTAACAGGCTATTAAATATAAGGTAACATCTTTAGCTCCAGGAGTCTGAGTCACAAATTGCTGGAAGCTAAGAGAATATTCTTAAGAAAAATCACTACCTGCCTTACCTGTTCTGGCATTCTTCCCCTGGCATCCAGTATTGACCACAAACAGACACATATGACTGGGCTAAATAATCCAGTATGACCATGACTATGTATACATTTGTTCAACTGCATGTGTGTCATTTAATTTAAATTTTGAAAAATAATTTTTTGGACATAGTGGAAGTAAAAAAAACAGCAGGTAGCAATTTCAGTTTGTCTTTCAAAAAAAAGAAGTTATGGGGGGAAGTACAAACATACATCTCTTTATTGGTATTTATTGATTTTAATATATAGTTTTAAGGGCAGGGGATGAAAAAGGTAATGAATTTGCCTTAATTAAAAATTTCTGACTCATATATCAGAGAATGAAGAAGTTTAATGAGCTTCTTCTGAACTCTTCTAGCAGTTGAGTCTTGAGTAGGTCTTGAAATAGGACCATGAAATAACAGCAGGTCATTTTCAGCCTCCTTGTCAATTTATTCATGGGTTCCCAAGACCTACTAAAGCCAAGCAGCGTTATGGTATTTAGCGGTAGATATCTGGCAGATGTAAGCTGCTGTGACAGTACTTTCATAGGCACCACTGAATTATCTCAGCTTCGTAACATTAAAGGACTTCTGGAAAATTCCAGTAATTATGATATGGTTTACAAAGAGAGCCTTTTTTTATTTATCGCTGTATCCACCTCCCACATGTATTAAAACCAGCAGAAATATTTCCATTCTAAATTAAAGAAGGATCAAGTCCTCCAGGATAACTGTCCTAATATCTCTAATCGAGAAAAAAAGCTCAAACCCCACAGGAAAATAAAAGGTGCCGGTGCTCAGATATGGACTTGCACAGTTTTCATACTGCAGTCATCAGGAAGCAGCCAAAAACAAGCTCTCCAGATAAAGTCAGTTTTCACTCTATCACAGTAGAGTCCTTGTGTTCAAACTGATGATCTCAATTCATACCAAACTTCGAAATGGTAATTATAGATTAATGCCAGAACAGACCAGCTTGATAAATGCAGTTACGATTGAGCAGACAGAAATAAAGGTCTTCATGCTCTCAGGTGGTAGAGAGATTAGTGTGCATCACATGGAAAAATACTGAGCAGCAAATAACTACCCTGAAAAAAAAAATCATAATTACTTGAGTCCCGGCCAACATATACTTCAAGCCTTCCCGATAAGAAAAATATGGCTATTAGAGTATTCTATCTGAGTAAGAGGTGTTCACTGGAGTCTAGTAGAATAATCATGTTTTTAGCTATAGTACTGTTTTCTGAGTAAGAGGAAAACTAACAAGCAGAAAGCGAGACAAAATACAGATTTCCATACGCTCTGCACATGGAAACAAGAATTAATAGCTTGGTGGGGGAAGGGGGGCAGACGGAGGAAGGGAAGAGGAAAGTCACTTTCATAGAAAGTAGGAAACAAAACGATGCCAATGGTTGCTTTGCTGCAAAAGCTGAAGAACCTGCTTTCACCAAGAGAACAGCATCTCCACAGACCAGTTCCAACTGCTCAAAAGTCTACTAACACTTACTGCTTGGGAATCACTGTTGTATATCGTCTAGAGACCAAGAAAAAGCAGAAAATCTCCTTCATGCCTCCTCCTTCTTTGCTGTCCTTTCAAGAGCCTGCCCTCCGTCCCCCCTCCACTTTCTGTTTAGCTAGCTTTTCGAGTTTCACTCCAGAGCGAGGTTACTGCTCTTGGGAAGCAGGGTCACAAGGACAGATTTAGTTATTTATGTTTATTTCCACTGCTAATTTGCCTTCTCCAAGCTGGTCACCATGACATTAGCAGCTGCCAAGGAAGAACAGGCAGGGTGTCTGGGTTTGTTCCAGGGTTAGGAACAACCCAACATGAGAGGAGGCGGAGGAGGTGGAGCCACTAGAGGGCATGAAAATCCTTCAGTATCCTTGGCCATCAATCTGCCTTTCCTGCAAAACAGGAAAAGGCAAACCATGACAGAGGTTATACCCGCTACTGCCCCCCCCCCAAAAAAAAAAACCCAATCAGATGGAGGAAAAAAAAAGTTTTTGGTAATTACTAAGAGAAATGAGCTAAAGAAGCCTTGCAAAAATGAAAGAAAAACACATACCAGTTCAGGCACAAACCTATTCACTTTTTCTGCCTTACGGATCCCCCTGCAGTGAAAACCTAACCTGAAACCAGACAAAATTCACTCACGTGCAGCAAGTTAGTGAGCAGAGTTCTGCAAGTCTAAAGTAAATGCTATTCCTTATTCTATTCAAGTTTTATTTAATAAAAGACTATTAAATCCCAAACAGATGGTTTAGGCGTTTGCCATTATACAGAAATTCTCACTTCGGGATAAATAGTTTGAACTCTGCCAAGGAAACAGAGCAATTAGGTTTAATTCTTCTTGGACCATTTCTTGTGACTCTCACACTTGCATTTCAGCATTAGCATGAGATCTAGATTCTTTGCAGAGAATGTTCAAAGTTATAATCAATACCTACACATGTCATTTTGCCCAGAACATCTATTACAGATCCTAATCCTTACATTAATGCTCTCTCCCACTGTAGTAGCTCCAAGAAATGTGTATAAACATACATACAGAATCCTAAATGTCAAACACAGTTTATATGGCAACAGGCATCATTGAAAATTACTGAATGCAGAATTCTAAAGGAAGACTTAGATTGCAGGTCAAAAAAAAAAAAAAAAAAAAAGGCCTATATCCAATCCCAGCATCTTTTCTGTTACCATAACGCTAAACTAAGCTGAAAAGTTCAGATACAATTTTCGAGGAGTTTTCACTTGGACATTTTAAGATCACACATCATTTTTGAAATCTAGAGATGTCTTTTTTTTTTTTTTTTAAATGTCTATAAAGCATGGTATCTCCATACTTAGAAAAGCACATCTGTCAAGGTGTTCCACACAGGAAACAAAGCTTCCTATAATAAAATGTGGAGTACCGGATCATCCTATTTATCAGGTGAAAATATTTAAGTTGTTGTTGCTTTGTTTGTTTGTTTGTTTTTTAAGATATTAAGTTTCATCTACAGAGACAACTCATCAGGAAAGACAAATACCAGATTAATGAGTTCTTGAGTTGGTATTCTTACTGACATGCTCAATTAAAATGAATTTTTCATGTCAAAGCCTGCAAATTTGCAATAAGCACAAATAAGCACCAGGTTGTCTGCTACTACAACTGCAAACTAGGATGGAACAGTAGCAGAAGACAACTCCCCACCCCCAAAAATTGATACGGTCCTATTTCACACATAGACAAGAACACATATTAACCCATAAAAAGAATAGCAGCACGTGTAAAAATTGTCAAGACAAGGTGGTGTCAGTAAAAAAAATTGCGATGCTGCTATTCCCTCATCTCTTCAACACCGAAGTTGCACACGTGACTCGCCTGACATAAAATCAATCCAAAGCTTTACAGGACAAAGCTGTCCCTGCACTTTATTCAGGTACAAGCACAGTGTATACAAAACTGAAATCTTTCTGTAATAGCAGCTATGCTTCTTAAATTTGTTTTTGACTTTAGAATACATGAGGAATGATTTCTTGCATCTGCTTTATAAGAAGGTCAAACTACTGAAACACAGGTTATTTTACATGTAAATTCACTGTATGATGCTCTGAGAAACTGAAATGACATTTTTAAAAGAGGCGGCTAAGAAGAATATGTTATGTACAAATTCAGAGCTATGAATCAATTACAATAACACTTAAGTCATTGCTTAAAGGGGCTGCCAACATTTTTCGAACCATGAAAAGCTCCATTCTGTGACTTGCATGTATAATTGCAGCATAAGCATAGTTAAACATCTCTGTCTGAAAGAGATCTCAGAATATCACAGGGCTCATTTTTCTCCAAAAACGTAATTTGCATCACTACTTGCCTGGGAGTTGGACATTGCTTTGACAGCATTCAAATCAGATCCTGAACAAAAAGTGTTTCCAGTGCCATAGACGATAAGGCCTTTGCCCTCCTTCCAGTTTTCCAATTCAGTTACCCTCTCCTGGAGTTCTAGCATCATGGTACCTAACATAAAGGGGAGAAGCAGAACTTTTAAGAGGATGTGATTATCACCATCATATTTTACATTACATTTTTCACTACCAAAAATAAGTTATCACTGATAAGTGATGGGTTTAAAAATACAACAGAGCGCATCACCTTATATCCTGCACACAAGCACTGACACACATTTTTACCCTCAAAGATGCACTTCCTGGAAATCTGAAAAATATTCTTCAAAGCCTGTGCTACGTTCATAAAACGAAAGCGTGCAAGGAAGCAAGCATAAACTCTAGCTGCATAATTTTTGTTTGCAGTTGCGTGCATTCATGCCACATGAACTTAAACGTATCCACCCATGGGAAGGTCTATCCATCATATGACCTTTACGTTAACTTCATTTCATCCTGCCCAAAGAGCTGGCAGAGCACAGAGAAGAATCATGTGCAAGTTACACTCCAGGTACAACCAGTCAGCTTTAATAAAGATTCCTAAAAAAAGAGCTGAAGAGCAAACTCTCTTGGAAGCCAACGACATTTAAAAGTGTCCTTTTAAAAGAAAATGCACTTGAAAGTAGGAGCAAAGTACTTTAGATCTTTCTAAAACATCTTTGATTCCTTCCCTGGTACCTGTCTAGAAAGGCTATCTTTACAGAGTATATCACTGCTTCCAAATGTACGGATTGTACAGTACTTGCCTTTTACTTCTAGCTTATGCAAACATATGAGAATATTACGTTTAAGAGCCTTCTCAGACTACAACTGTTGTAAGTATCATAACTCCCAGTGTTATAGAACAGACTCCTCTCCTCTCCCCCCAAAATTTTTGGGTTAATTTTCATCCTAAAGAAATTCAAAAAGAAGAGGATGAAAAGGAGCAAAATTATCAGTGTTGTCAAACAGCTGGGTATAACTCTACCTTTAAAATGTGGAATGGAGGTGCTTGTGCAATTCAGAAAACTAATTATGAGTTGCTGAGGGTAGAACCCAGTTTGTTCAATATAAGCACTTAAATTTTATGCACCACCCAAAGGAATTGCCGGAACTCACCCTCGCAGGATGTGCTTTTGGGGACTTCTGAGAGCACTTGCCTCTCATCAGCTATACATGAAATTTAAACACGTATTCCAACAGTCCATGCCCATACAACTCTTTTAATGTTTTATTGGATTACAGGGAATTTTGAATTAATACGTGACTTACCCCCAAAGAATTCACTCCTCAGCAAGGCCAACTTTTCCCTTCCAGTAGACCCTTGTTTTTAATCTACTTCACATTAGTATGACCAACAACTATGCAATAGCTAGTGACTGAATACCTAGTGAGGACAACTTTCCCAGTCACCATCACAAAGCTGGCTATACTTTTACTACCTCACTGGTCTTCCCATCTGTAACCAACAGTGTTTTAAGCTACAGCCACTGCCCTTCCTGAAGTGGAATTGCACAAATCCCCCATTTCTGGAGCTAGTCCTAGACTGTAGCATCCTCCACACCAACTGAGCTTACCCAACATTAAGTTAAAGCTCTTCCTCTTTGAGCGCCTATGACTCACATTCAGATTTACTCTTAAGACAAAGCACTTACAGAAATGAGTTTCAAAAAGCAGCCTACACGCAGGTTGATCATACTCTCAACTCTACCTTCCTTTGACAAGAATTTAGACAGATAGGCCCACCTGCTTCCGATACAAATGTGCTTTAGATTAAAACTCTCAAGGACTCTGCTTTTCTGCCAGGACTGTTGCTTTTTAACCCCACCTCTGCATGCACAGAATTTTTCCTGCCCTAAAATTGTCTCCTAGTAGCCATCCCTACCAGCTGGGGTTATTTTCCTTCTTGCCTGTTTTTCTTCGCAGTCCCTTATGAAGCAAACATCCCAGTGCCAAGCCAAGAGCGAATGTTCCACAAAGCACTTTCATCTCAGTCTTGGTCTCAGCCACCAAAATAGCACTTTTTGACAACGTTCCCGAGGAGGGCAAGAATTAAGTGGACATTTACATACTATATAATCAGAATGATACCGGGTTTTTTTGCGTTGCCAGGTTCAGGCTATGAACCTCTAACAAATCTCAGCACTGCTACCAGTTCCTTTCCTTTCTGTATTTATAATTTAATCATGCTTCTTATGTATGGCATATAACATCTGTTTTCATTGAATTTCACTTTCTTGGTCTTGCGCTCCTTCAGCAGTTAATCAAGATCATTTTGAGTTCCATTCCTCTGCTCCAAAATACAACCTCCTTGCAAGTTCTCCCAGTTTGGGGTCATCTGACAAATTCAGCATTTCACTTTCCATTTCATCATCCAAGCCATGAGTGAAAATACCAAGCAGAACAAGGCCTAGAAGAGATTTCTTTAGGTCTTGCAATGCTTTGCCAGCTTGACAGTATATTCAACAATGATTTTTCGGCTGTTCTTTAAACATATGTGGCTCAATCCCGTGGATTTCACTTTGCCCATATTTCTCACATTTTCTCATGAGAAAGGTATTCAGGTCGGTGCCAAAGCTGTGCCAGAGTCAAGATACAGTGCAATCAGTTTGCAATACTTTTAATAATCAAAGCAGGTAGGTACTAAAGAGTCTTTCTGTAAGAGTATTACAGGAGCCAAAAATCTAACTAACTGAATTGGAGTTTCCAAAAAGGGACTGTATGAGGCAGCTGTATGCAACAGCAAGGACCACGAGTCTTCAAAAAGCCTGTCCCTTCCTCATAGGAGGAGATCCCTTCTGTTACCATCTACAGGGGCAACAATGAACTATCATTTTACCAATAGACACAGTCTGTGATGATTGATATAATGATTAGGCCACACCACTAAAGCAAACTCTCCTTCCGTTTGTCTTGGTCTTTCAGTATTTGATACCCATAAGTTCGTCCTCTTCACAGCACTGAATTTACCCCGAATAATAAATTGTTTGCCTTTTAATTATAATTTAAGAATGTTTTAAAGTCAATTCCAGACAGTAAAATTGTCACCACTCTTATTTAGTTCCTGCAAGCTGGTCCATTTTCTTTTAAATTAAGGTCAACTTTAGTTCAGCAAGAGGTTAGACTGCTAAAATTGGTTCCAACATGCTAAAACTGACATTATTAGCATTTGTTTCCAAAAAGACTGTTTTAAACAGGTGGCTGTCAGATTCCAATTAAGAGGAGAAGAAAGGCCTAACCTCCTCCACATTGCCCATTACCAATTTGCTAACAATTTTATTCTGCTTTCAGTTCCATGAGTTATTCAAGCTTAGAATAAACAAAATTCCTTTGAGATAAAAAGCTGCTGCGTGAAGTAAATGCCTGGTAAATAGGATTTCTCTCAACAGTTTAATGATGTTTTAGAGCTCTCTAAAGGAAGCCTACGTTTATATATAAATTCACATCTGCCACTATTCAGAAGCCCTGAGACACAGAATCAACACAATTTCTTTGAGGCAGGGTGTTTATAGGCTGTAGCAGATGAAGTCAACAGGTCCTGCTGGGGCAAATTTGGGGTTGCACAGCCTATCCCTTTCCATATTTCTGCTGAAGGGTATTACTCTATATACAGCAAGTGGAAACACCTACTTGCTAGCTTCTCAGCAACTGCAGTTCACAGACAGAAATGTTAATTCAAACTACAGTTGGTTTCAGTTTAATAACCCATACCATCAACTGCAGTGGCCAAGGGGCCAGCATATAGTTTTGCTTCTACCCTCCCTGCCATGACAATAAAAATCTCCGTCGGAGGTATAAAGTAGAAAGGAGCAGTGACCTCCTAGACTGCCACAGCAAGATTGGCGCAGCAAATGTTGGTGGCTCTTACGTAGTAAAACAGAGTACTCCCTCCACAGGGCTCTACACACTACCTTAAAACAGAAGTGCCTGGTCCCTTGCCTCATTTGCTATATGTTAATCAGGGTCCAAAATGAAGACAGAAGTCTTGATTTCCTCATAGGTTTTTGTAGCCTCTGTTTGCTGCAATACCGTCTAAGTAATTCAAAGACACTAATAACTTATTTTCACAGCACTCCTACGAGGAGAGGAGAGATTATTTTAGACCACTAGCTGAGCCAAAGAAACTATCTATACTTTTGGGTGTCCAATTTGAAATATGCATGATATACTTTCAGTACATTAACATTATCCAGCACTTAGTACATTCAAAGCACAGCTACCAGTGACCTATATAGCAGCTGTGACTGCTCAGCACTTCTACAAATCAGTTCTGAGAGCCTCCTGATAAGCATCCAGAAAAAAAAAAAGAGGAACACAGTTGTAAGTCTCTACGAAAGTTTAAGCCACTTATATTACATCTGATCACCATGACAGACTGGGCTTTACCAGTACTTTCTGCTATTACCTCTCATTTCTCATGCCCCTTTCGATTTCCACAACAAGCAAGTCAAGAAGGTACAGTCCACAGGCTGTCCCTTGCAAAGCTTTATTTTGAGTGAAAAATAAAAACAGATCTGTAGAAAAAGAACATGCAACAATATAATTAAGACTGTATAATAACGTATATGCTGACAGGAAGGCATTTTGAAAGATAATCTTCATCCTAACATCTTTCAGCTACAACTTTTCAAGTTTACAAGTTCGGTAATAATTTTGCAGATCAGCTTTTAAAAAGGAAACAAAAGGGAAACTGCAGAATTGAAACTGTAGAATTACCACAAGTTCTGTTCCTCTGTAAGGATCTCTTCCTTTCAGCTATCATTAATAGTAGATTGACGTTCTCCATGTAAACAGCTCTATGCTCTGCTAGCGGGTTGCAAATAGATTTGCTAACAGTAAAGGAACAGTGAGAACTGGGCAGGAAAATAGAACAGGGGAAAAAAACCCCATCAAGATGACACAAATGTATCCATTTCAAAACATTAAGAGATAAGGCTTTCTTAGAGTAAGGGCTCATGCAAAACTCAAGTTCAGGTAGAGGCAGGCCCTGAACCTTTATCACTTATGTCTGGAGAGAACAGTATAAATTGAAATATTTCAGATAGAGAGACAGCAGACATACCTAACTATCTTGGAGATGAAAAACCTCTCAGAATACAAGATTAATGAAAAGTGGCACTTGGTTTTGATAGGTAAGTATTGTCCAGTGTAAAGGTAGATTATTAAGAAGATTCCTGACCTGCAACAGCTGACAATACCCAGCTCATCTAATCCTCTTTTAACATGTCATCGGTATTTAAGATATAAGACAGATAAAGGAAGAAATAGAAGCCAGTTTGGGTGGCTAGAAAAGACTGAATTACCAAAGCTTAAGTTACAGGAAAGACATCTTTACACAGGTAAAGAACAATAAATAAGAAATAAACTCATTCGTTCTACACCACCTACAGAGCCAAGATGATACTTACCCACCCTCCTAAAAATACTCTGTATGTTTTCACAGCAGTAGAGACAAAAAGAAAGGAGAAATAAGAAAGAGCACAGCAGCAGAACTGTGTGCTGACTGAAAAAAGGGGAAGGGCATGTTCTGCCACAAAGTCCTTGTGTCATTGAAAACTTACATTCTTATGACGTTTACTGCAAAACTACTACCATGCAGAGCAGTAGGCACTTGCCGCACCTCTGATTAAAAGCCAAACATTCCTTCTGTTAACTAAGGCACAGCTTTTAATTTTGCTTGGGCAAAATGCTAAAACAGCTAACTGAAGGGGAAAGAAAATAATAATAATAATAAAAAACAACACACAACAAGAAAATAGCATCCCCAACAATACCTGTGAAGGCATTCATTAGCCTTGGGTTGTTCAAGGTCAAGATTCCAATGCCATTCTCTTCTTTGGAAAGGTTGATGGATCCACCAGCAAACTGCTCAAGTTTCTTCTTTACCAGTTCTTCCTGATAGCCATGAGCACAGTCATATAGTGATGCCATTCTCTGTTGTATTATCCTTTCTTTTGTTGTCTGAAGTAAGTTTTTCAACTGACAAACTGCCATTTCTGGAAAGAAACACCAAGAAAAAGAATCAGATTTTCCTTTGAAATCCACATCAGTCCTCTAACAAAGAGAGGAACAGGATAGCAGAAAGTAACACTGAGGTGAAGCAATCTCAGAAATCTACAGAAACCTGCTCACCATGGATAGGATTTGCAAAATTGTTAGTTTAACCCTACTCCCACAAAGTTACATAGAAGGAGTTTTAAGCATTGTTTTTAGCAGTTAAGCCAGAAATTAACATATTTTAAAATCTTTTCTTCTAAAAAATATGCAAAAGTATTTGGATGCAGAATGGTAAAGAGGCTCAAAAATCCTGGACAGTTTCCTCTACACCAGCTTACTCTGTACTAATAATAAAATAAAAAAGAGAGCAAGACATTGTCTAGCCCCTGGTGGACATATGCCTTCCCCTCAAGCATTTCAGTAGCTCTTGCTCCACTTTGAATTCATCTTACTTAAACATAGAACAACCAGAACCAATCTAGTACTCCAAAGGAGGAAATGTGTACAATAGTGTTACGTACTGAGCATTGCCTTTTACACAGCTATGTAATATTGGTAGCCCATTTCTAGGTACCAGTGCATCCACAGCTTATTCTTCTTCCATTCCCACTCTACAGAGCGTCCATGTATACCAGGAAGTGACAAGAAGTCATTACCTAATGTCTGTATAAAATATAATCCTTGAACTGTGTGTGGCTTTGCTTTATTTCATTCACTGCAGAAAAAGCTCTAACAGAAAAAGTGGTTTACAGGTGATTAGAAGGAATTTGGGTAAATACCAGAACAGGAGACAGGTGATCTGAAAAAGAAGTCATCCTAGAAGCTACTCAAAGTCTGAAGTAAAAGAACCTTCACAGGTCACAGAAAAAGGTTTTATATTTAAATCTTGCAATTTGCTAAGCTAGTCCCATCTTTGCCCCAAATCCCTTTATAATACATACAGCTGTTCAAAAGACATGGTAGATGCTTACTTTTTGGGGAACTGGGAAAAAGACCTTCTCTGACTTTAGTTGCATTTTGGCAGAAACAAGATTTTTCCAAGATTAGCAAGAAGGTTCTGGAAAGCTTTTCTAAGATGAACCCAGAAGACGAAACATACTCATCTGAGACTGAATTTAACGATAGATAGATATTAATGCTGTGTCCAGGGTTTCTTACAACAAATAGACTGAAATTTTGAAAATGTATGTTATATAATCATACATATGAATAAGCAAACACACATTAAAATATATACACAGATACAGTGTAGAATGAAAGAAGTGAACAATCCTGTCAGCAGTACATTTATCTTGTAGCTAGCAGCACCATCCTATACTAAAGTAGAAAAAGCTTCTGTTGGGGCAGGTATAATTCTCATCTAAATGGAGGAGGAGTTTGCACAGCAATCACATCAGGGGATGCTAAAGCACACGTGTCATACCAGGAGATTTTAAAGAGAGTCTCCTATGTCATACCTGTCCTGCCACATTACCTCAAACCCTGCAGTGCTGTCCTACATGTGCAACACAAAAACTTGTAAGGCTTATCCAAATCCATGCATTATAATTTGACATGCATAGTAGAGAATCCTACTTCAGATCATTTTTGTTAACTTCTAGTGAAAGATGTGAAGAGTCTTCCGAGTTCCTCATGAAATTCAAGGTTTTAATCTGCCATGATCAGCTGTTTCCTGCATTCAAGTGTAACGTAATAAAAGTGACACCAAGTTAACATATGATTGAATATAAGATTCTTTAATTCATAAATGACATTGCCAGGCTGCTTCTAACACTAACCTTAACACTCCCTATCTATGCACATTCTAATATTAATCCGCAACATTATCTGCAGCAAGGCTTTTGACACTGTCTGCCATAACATCCTCATAGGTAAGCTCAGGAAGTGTGGCCTGGATGAGTGGACAGTGAGGAGGATTGAGAACTGGCTGGATGGCCGAGCTCAGAGGGTTGTGGTCAGTGGCGCAGAGTCCAGTTGGAGGCCTGTAGCTAGTGGTGTCCCCCAGGGGTCAGTCCTGGGTCCAGTCTTGTTCAATGTATTCATC